TTTGTAGTAATCCAAGCGTTTGAGCACTGTGCTGATTAGCTGAAGTTAAAATTTGTTGATAAAAGGAGATAAAATATAAAAATATAAAAGCGATAGAGCAAAGCGCGGAGCAGTAAGCAAGAGCGTCCGAACAGTAGCAGAGCAGGAAGTCAGCTAGCAGAGCAGGAAGTTTAATAAAATAAAATAAATGTAAATGTGAAATGTTGCCTTTTTTTGCCCCTTACTTTTTTATTTTAAACTGTAAAGAATCAGATATTTACAGATGAGGCCATCAAAACAATGATTTTTTTTTTTTTTTTAGAGAGCAAGTGTCTTATTAGAAAACACAAAGAACAGTTTAAGCATTTTAGACACATGTGATATTGAAATCATAATACTTAATACAGGAGATGACAGTTTGATAATAATTCCAAGTCCGTAGTATTTTCATGTTTGTGTAACTGCAACAAACCTCCTCACCACTTTAACCTTCTGTGAATCTGTTTTCTTACAGGACATTGATGTTGATAACCCAACACCCGATCCCAATAACATTCAGGAGGGTGATGCTGATAACCCACCACCCGATCCCAATGACATTCAAGATCCCAATGACATTCAAGAGGGTGATGCTGATAACCCAACACCCGATCCCAATGACATTCAGGAGGGTGATGCTGATAACCCACCACCCGATCCAAATGACATTCAGGAGGGTGATGCTGATAACCCAACACCCGATCCCAATGACATTCAGGAAGTTGATGCTGATAACTTACCACACGATCCCAATAACATTCAGGACAGTGATGCTGATAACTTACCACCTCATTCCAATGACATTCCTTTGCAGGACATGGAACATCCAGACTCATGCCGAGGCTCCCAATAAAACAGTGGACACTGAAGAGAATTAGGAAGTGACGGAGAGACGAGGATCAGCTGAAACTCTCATCGTTCAGAGTAATTGTGTCACGACTCCAAGATTTCAATAGTCGGCACCAACACCAGTCAAAATTCACCTAATGTAACCAATTTCACGAGTTTACATTTACATATAATTAGAAAGAGTAAAGGTTTATGTGTATTTGGCGTGCTGTCCGGGGGAGAGGCACCGAGCTCGTGATTTGTTGCAGAGTATTCCCCCGGTGGCAGGAAAAGTTATAACTAAAAGTGTGGAGAAGGGGTGGTGGAGGGATAATGATAAACTGTCAATGAACAGAGGTAAGTCTGCTGTATATAAATTGTTGATTAACTGAATGCTCTCCTCATGATAATTATCTGAATGTTCTCCTCCTGAACTTTGTTAATAAAACTACATTTAAATAAGACATCCAGAACTGATTTCTTAGAATTGTAATGATTTAAATGATAAATTAACATTTAGCCTTAAACCGTGTATGAGCAATAAAGTAAGAAACAGAGCAACAGTTTACAGCAGTAGATCAGCGAGTGCTAGATGTTTCTCAGTATATAGAGGTTTATTAAAGCTGATACAGTGAGAAACAGTGAGACATTATATCTCTGCATTTCTGCATATCTAACATTTGCACTATAATGTTGATCTGGTTTTACATATCAGTTATTTTCTCCCGTCTGTTTACATCCTCTGATAGAACTGACTGTGTTTCCATAATTACCTCAAGACGGGTATTATGACCAAGATATTCCTTCTCAACACAAAGACAGTCTCCACTACTGATACTGCAGGTGTTTTTACTGGTATTGTGGCTGTTACTGGAAATGTGTGGTATTCTTATGTTGCTAATATTTATGGTTTAAACAGTTACATTAACCCTTACTCATCTACCTTCAATATTTGTGAGACAAATATTGTGTTTCTTGTATTCTGGGCACAATACTTCTAGACATTTTTCTTTCTGTTTTCTTATCTTTACATCAGCCGAGAGAAAAAAAAGTGCCTATAAGTAAAACCCACAAAAAACATTTCTCTTCTGAAACTAGAAAATGACCTTGAAAAATTGTTGTATGCTTATGTGATATTATTAAAAAACATATGATTCCATCATGAGCCACAGAATCCCATTATCCCCAATACTTTGTCTCATAGGCGACCTTTCCGAAATCCATATCTCACAAAAATATAGGAATCCGTTGCTCATCTCTTTAGCTGTCGCCAAGAAAGTAGTTCTCCAAAACTGGAAATCAAAGAAATCTTGCCACATCAATCACTGGATAAATTTAATATCAGAATATATTTCAATGGAGAAATACAATGCATACAGAATAAAGCAAATATCAGCCTATGAAGATATATGGTCCCCTTTTCTTACATTTTTGACATCTTGACATCTCTCAATATCGCACAAACATAACTATAAGCCGTGTATATAACCAGACACATACCTCACCCCTTCTGTTACTGCAGCTATCACTTCATACATACATATAGGCATCTACACTCATGCATAACATGTTTTCAAACCCACTTTCCCTCAAACACCTTAACCGTGATCAACTAATATAGCCTACATTTCAGATCAACAGAAGAGGGGGGAGGCAGAGAGGGGAGGGAGAGGAGAGGAGAATGGGAGGGAGAGGAAGAAGAGGGAGGGAAGGGAGAGGGGGAAGGAAGGAAAAAGGGGAAAGGGAAGAAAAGAGGAGAAAAAAGGAAGGAATAATAAGAATAAGAATAATTTGCTCAAGATGTGTTCTCTGTTGTTGTTTGTCTGTCACTTGTCCTATGTTACGTGTTACACCTTGTACATGGTGCTATAACCCCCCCTTCACTTATGTACCCAGGCTCACACTGAACGGGGTGAATAGTTATGCTATTCACAGTTACTGTGATAGTAATATCAATAGTAATAGTTACTTGAATAGTTACTGTATACACATTTATTGTCTGTATTGTAATATATTGTGTATATATGCTCTTTTTCTGTTTTATTAAAAATAAAGTTGTCCTCCAAAGAGGGGGGGGGGGTGGTGGCGGGCGAAAAAACAACAAAAACATATGATTCATTCATAACATCTGGAATCTGTGCGTCTCTAAAATATTTTTGTTATCAGAAATATCTAAGCTAATATTGAATCATCTAGTTATAGGAATTTCATCACTGATGCACTACTTTTACTAGCAACTTTATTATGTTTGTTACGTCTTGTAAAGTCATGATGGATGGGCTGAGTTTGTGTTGCTCTGTTCTCTCTCTCTACTGTTCATTTTTTCTTTGTGCTGCTGCTCTAGATATTGATCACAAAGAAGCAGCAAGCAGAGACTTGTGGACTCATTCTCTTCTGTCTCAGACAGTTTGCAGACCGTTGTTTTTTTACATTAGATGATCATCAGTTGATCTTCAGTGTGTGTTGTGTAAGGCGGGTGCCAATAAGTCTGGGCAACCCCTCAAGGGAGAAGAATTAACATTTGAACTCTCTCTTGCATATGTAACAGCAACACCCGAGACACACCACACAGCGCAGCTCATGTCTCACTTTCACATTCTTTTAAATTATAATGATTTTCAATGTATTTCCTCTGCAAAAGTCAATTGCAGCAAAAGTGAATCTCTACTAGTGGAAAATGGAGTGGAGATTTTCCCACTTTACCTGGAGGATTGATTTGGAAAAGAGGTTTTAAATACCTTAGTGTCTATCTAGGAAATGAAAACTTCAATAAGAAAAATTGGGAAGGTCTAAATTGAGAAAATAAAAGGTCGATTGGAAAAATGGAAATGATTGCTCCCTCAGATATCTTCCAGAGGACGTATTCTTATAATTAATAATCTTGTGGCATCTTCATTATGGCATAAACTTGCTTGTGTGGACCCTCTAAATGATCTCCTTGTAAATATTCAAAGACAATGGTGAACTTTTTTGGGGTATCATTGGACTGAAGGGTCAAGGTCTGGTTAATCTCGCAAGCATAAGAGCCACTTACCATCTCCAATATATACAGAAACAGAGAAATATTTTAAATACATAGTTTCTAAAAAAAAAAAAAAAAACTCTCTCTCTCTCTCTCTCTGATGATTGACAGCAGAGACGAACCAATCAGCACATCACCTGCAAAAGTGAAAGTAAAAATGGAGAGCGGTAGAGAACAGCACGGAAGAGAGAAAAATAGCAAAACACCCAAACCACATATCCAAACGTCACATAATGATGTAACAATGACAGTATATGACTTATTTTATTCATTAGAATAAACAGAGAAAACTGTGTCGGTGTGTGCGTGTTATTCTTCTTGGTTGCAGGTTAAAGAACCACTGGCATTATTGGAGATTGACTGGATTGTTCGGGACAGGCTGTTTGGGTGCGCAACTTATAGGTTGCAGTCGGATACACATGTGGCCATGTATAGACAAGAGATACAGTTGGGTTAGATGGGCCTACTTTCTTCCACCACCTCGCAAACATCAAAATGTAGACATAAATGCATATGCATAAATAAATGTGAAAATAAATAAATAAATAAATGCATAAATAAGTAAATATATATATATATATATATATATATATATATATATATTAGGAAAAAATACAATTATACATAAATAAGGAAATAAAAGTATAAATACTCATTTATTTTTGTTTGTTTTTTAGTACATTTCTTAATATATTTATTTGTGTATGTATTTGTTTTTATTTCTTCGTATATTTATTTATTTATTATTTGGTCAGCTTTGGCATTCCATAGTCGGGTACTCCAGACAGTGCACTTTACGGTTAGGCCAACATAAATTAACAAAATGAATATAATACAATATATAAGATACACAGTACAAAATAGGCTACAGATTGTAACACAATAATAAAGAATGTAAATAAATTATTAATATTATTGACAAAAAAAATGTATCCAAAAATACTGTGTTAAATCAAGTGAAATTCCATGTGCATTATATAAATAGATCGTTTAGATGAGTTAGTGAACCACTAAATTAAACTAACACAGAAAACACAATTTCAGACATTACAATAACACATGATAGAGTGTGAAACTAAAGTTAAAACATATTGGCAGAGAATTAATGTAAACTATGAGGTGTGAGTCAGGGCTCACATTTATTCCAGTATTCCACGGTATTTGATCATCGTTTTTTGGGGAAATTTTCATACACAGCCTCCTTCTTTGATTTCTGCAAGAAAAAATGCAGTCATATTTAAAAAAAAAAAAAAAAAAAAAAAAGTAACTTCTTTGACCGGTCATAGTTTTAAGATTTGAAAATTGTAATTTATTGTATGTAGCCTATTGTTTAATGATCGCTGTCGTCTATGTAATGTATAATCTATATTTTTATCTGGAGGATGTAGTGTACTGCGGTCAAGCCAGCCGCCACCCCGAAATGCACTTTGCGCATACATTAGCTATAACGGTAAGACCGTCATACCGTCATCTGAATTGAAAATGTTTTCGAGCTGCGTCGAGACGCGGTGGGAACACTATACCCACAACGCCATAATAGCAAATGCCTGTTCTGTGTGAAGTCATAGCGCACACTAAGAAGCAAGAGAGCTTCTTAGAGCTTCTATACCCCGAGAGCCTAGATCCAAGTCATAAAATCTAACAAAAGCAGCTAAGGCTGCCATGTACACCTTTAGTGTGGAGGGGGATAGACCTGCGGTGAAACGCTCCTGCAGGAACTCCAGCACTGCAACCACAGGGCAGATAACTGGGTCCAGCGGGTGCTCTCCGCACCAGGAAGTGAAAAATATCCACTTCAAGGGGTAGAGTTTCCTTGTGGAGGGAGCTCTAGAGTGGAGGATGGTCTCAACAGCCTCAGTTGATAGCAGTGTTAATTTTGTCAGCAAATTTTGATTTAGTTTTAGTCTTAGTCTTTTGACTAAAATGCCATTTAGTTTTAGTCATATTTTAGTCATCTGAATTGTTTTAGTTTTAGTCTAGTTTTAGTCGACGAAATACAATAACATTTTAGTCGACTAAATCTACAGTAGATTTAGTCGACTAAAATATAATGGGTTTAGTTCAATTGTATTTTAGTCGACTAAATCTACAGTAGATTTAGTCGACTAAAATATAATGGGTTTAGTTCAATTGTAATGCGTTAATTTAGAATTTCTCTAAAATTTCCAAACCCATATACTCCCGGAGAAAACATCTATTAACCTATTAATATGAATGATTTTTAAGTTTGAACATGCAATACAGATACAGATTTAACGGCTGTTACTTAAAAAATATCTTAAAATGAAATAAAACCACTTTTCCTAAAGTACAACACAGTCTTCTTTACAATGAATGATATATTCATTCCTTATAACTACTTACACATCATTCTTTATTCTTTCAAGCAGACATATTTATTTGTATGAATTAAATATAATTAATCCTTATTAAAGCTATTAACAAACAGTGAATGCTTTTCTCTTTTTCTTTTGTTGCTTGATCAAAATTAAGGACACGGACCGCATTAGGTTTATTGCCACTGTCACTTTAAGACGTCGGATCATGTCCAATGACATGCGGATACAATTGCACTGATGCACATCCGACACACTCACAGTTTAAGACATAACCAGCATAGTTTACATGAATACTCTCCAAAAAGGACATTTAGACATACTGTTGTGTATCGCTCCATTCAGACACGAAAGAGAGCTCAATTCAGTAGCCTACTCGCGCGCTGTAGGTGTATTGTGCATGACTGCACGCTTCGGGTTAGGTGTGTGCGCACAGAAAACCGCACCGAATAGAGCTCTTTTTTGCATCGTCACTCTTATTCAGAGATCTATATGTCTGCTCTACTCATTCTCCCAGACGTTCACATTTTTTAACGTTTTATGACCGCGGGGTAGATCACGTTACAGTAGCCTACAAATGTGCGCATCTACCACACACGCAGGACATCAGTTCTGACGGATCGCTTCCCAAATCGTCACTATCTAACATTTTCGTCTAGTTTTTATTCGTTGACGAAAATGTCAATAGATTTTCGTCATAGTCTTTGTCATTCAAAACTAGGTTTTATTTAGTTATCGTCTCGTTTTCGTCTGTGAAAAAATGTCGTTGACGAATAATTTTCGTCGTTATTTTCGTCAACGAAATTAACACTGGTTGATAGACCTGAACTTATGAGCTGGGCCCCCTCAGAGGTCAAGCCCAAAGTATCCACAATTCTGGGTGGGGGTGTGAAGGATCAACCCGGTCGCCTGAGAGAAAAAGTCCCCCTTTGAGCGGAATCTCCAGAAGAGAGCCGTCGAGGAGAGACTCAGGGGTCTCCGACCTTTTTTCATTTGAGAGCTACTTTTTTAAAAATGAAAGTGGCCGAGAGCTACTCATGCAATACAATACTTAAATCTCTTTAATAATGTCTCATAACTCTCTCATATTAACAACTATCCAAACTGTTTTAGACCTAAAAGAGTTTTTGTAGGCCTATATGTGTCACCCTTAAATGTCAGAGAAAAGAACAGAATCAGAGATTAATTTTTTTTATAGTAATTGTACTTTGCATATTATACTGTAAAACACAATTATAGTTGATTGTATAGTGCATCATAACTAGAGATGAAATGGCATGAAAATTTCATTTCATAATAGTGACCAAAATGATCACAGTAATCACAGAATCCTGTTCAAAAAGTACTAATACTACACAAAATCAATTCACAGTTGTATGTCGAAAACCAGCAAATAACAAATAAAATTAGCATCAATATGCTCTTTTTGTTTACATAAACATTAAAATAATAACATTAAAAATGATGGCACAATTTAGTGAATATTTAATTTACTGTAAATGTATAGCATTATGCCTTTATGGGGTTTCTTCTTGTCTTCAAGGAAAAAGCCGGCGACATGACATATAAAGTTGATCCTGATTGGTTCTGTGCATTCGAAGTGCTGATTGGCACACGCAGATAGAACCTTATAGAGCCAAGTTAGAGTTCAACTTTGTAGATAGAACCTTTTAGTTTTTTCAATAAAAAGTCACACAATGTACACAACTTAAAAAAAACACATCACATAATGTAAATAAGTTGTCACAGAATATGAATATGTGAATAACTCAATTTTGACAAAAATGTCAGATAGAACCTTATAATTCCAAGAGGACGATACATCTTAGCATTTAATATGTTAATAAGTGCTATTATAAGCTAATAGCAAGCTATAGTATAGAATTTCAATTGAGAAATTATGTAAATCCTACATACTTTTATTTGTCAGTGAAGATTTAAATAAACTAAAGCATGTTCACTAAACTTAACCGGTTTAAGTTACAGGGAAGCAATTCCATTGATTTGTTTGGACTCATTCAGTTGTGTTGTCACAACACAAGGAGCTTAGATACACTCACCTAAAGGATTATTAGGAACACCTGTTCAAATTCTCATTAATGCAACTATCTAATCAACCAATCACATGGCAGTTGCTTCAATGCATTTAGGGGTGTGGTCCTGGTCAAGACAATCTCCTGAACTCCAAACTGAATGTCAGAATGGGAAAGAAAGGTGATTTAAGCAATTTTGAGCGTGGCATGGTTGTTGGTGCCAGGCGGGCCGGTCTGAGTATTTCACAATCTGCTCAGTTACTGGGATTTTCACGCACAACCATTTCTAGGGTTTACAAAGAATGGTGTGAAAAGGGAAAAACATCCAGTATGCGGCAGTCCTGTGGGCGAAAATGCCTTGTTGATGCTAGAGGTCAGAGGAGAATGGGCCGACTGATTCAAGCTGATAGAAGAGCAACTTTGACTGAAATAACCACTCGTTACAACCGAGGTATGCAGCAAAGCATTTGTGAAGCCACAACACGCACAACCTTGAGGCGGATGGGCTACAACAGCAGAAGACCCCACCGGGTACCACTCATCTCCACTACAATAAGGAAAAAGAGGCTACAATTTGCAAGAGCTCACCAAAATTGGACAGTTGAAGACTGGAAAAATATTGCCTGGTCTGATGAGTCTCGATTTCTGTTGAGACATTCAGATGGTAGAGTCAGAATTTGGCGTAAACAGAATGAGAACATGGATCCATCATGCCTTGTTACCACTGTGCAGGCTGGTGGTGTAATGGTGTGGGGGGTGTTTTCTTGGCACACTTTAGGCCCCTTAGTGCCAATTGGGCATTGTTTAAATGCCACGGCCTACCTGAGCATTGTTTCTGACCATGTCCATCCCTTTATGGCCACCATGTACCCATCCTCTGATGGCTACTTCCAGCAGGATAATGCACCATGTCACAAAGCTCGAATCATTTCAAATTGGTTTCTTGAACATGACAATGAGTTCACTGTACTAAAATGGCCCCCACAGTCACCAGATCTCAACCCAATAGAGCATCTTTGGGATGTGGTGGAACGGGAGCTTCGTGCCCTGGATGTGCATCCCACAAATCTCCATCAACTGCAAGATGCTATCCTATCAATATGGGCCAACATTTCTAAAGAATGCTTTCAGCAACTTGTTGAATCAATGCAACGTAGAATTAAGGCAGTTCTGAAGGCGAAAGGGGGTCAAACACAGTATTAGTATAGTGTTCCTAATAATCCTTTAGGTGAGTGTAGATTAAAAAAATCCCATTAATGTTAACAAAACGCAATTTGCTTGTGTGGAACCACTGTCCATAATTAAATTAAGTAAGTTTAAAGAGTAATTTTTTTAGTGTACCTCAGAGAGGGAAAAGGTAGCTTTTGGCATTTTCAGCTCATTTATCATGGAAATGAGGTGTATTTTGGTGTGAATTTTCCCCCACCTTTTACCTCCACTGATGGCCCGATCCGTAACGCTTCTTGAGAATAATACGGCGCACATGCTCAGCTAATTTGGTGAAGTTCTGCGTAGAGCATTTTTCACCTTTATAACAGTTAAAGCGCCACCAATGGCCCAACGTCCATAAAAGTTTCCAAGCTTCTTTAGGATCACGTGACGCATGCGCGCCCGATTTTGTGAGGTTTTATGCAAATCAGGCAGGAAGAGGGCCGCTTTCAGAAACTTCATGGGATTTGATTTGCCATATAGTTCTACATCATTTTAACACATTTTTAACAGTTATAGCGCCATCAAGTGGCCAGTCTCCGCGTCCTTTTTCACGCTGCGCCTCAAGACGCTGGACAGGAGGCTTAAAATCCGGACTGTCCGGCCAAAATCCGGACGAATGGCCACCCTACTTTCTTCCCTCGAGAAGAAAGCCAACCAGAGCAGAGCTAAAACTCGATAGTGCATATGTTACACGTAGGGAATTTATGAATGAACACTGTCAGCCCCAATTTACTAGAGCTGACCGTGCATGCTCCTCTCCCAAACAAACACATGAATCGCGTGTGTCTCCACTCGTAATGAAGAGAGGGCAGGGACGAACACACGATCCAAAGCTGTTTGATCTCCATACTCCTGTCTAATATATATATATAGATGCTTGTGGACAAACAACAATAAATAGACAGAGACAGATTCACACAGAGCGCTTGCTGAAGGCACAGAAGCTAACGCGGTCTGTTGTCAGGTGTGCTTTATAGTTTCCTGGTCGATGACGTCAGCCGCCTATGACGTCTCGTCTCTCCATTGGACTGATTATACACGTGCTTCACGACGCAATTAGGCGATTTCACAATCAGTTATTCAGTCGGATCCATCCATCCATCCATCCATCGTCTGTCTATTTGTCTGTCTGTCTGTCTGTCTGTCATTTCTATCTATCTATCTATCTATCTATCTATCTATCTATCTATCTATCTATCTATCTATCTATCTATCTATCTATCTATCTATCTATCTATCTATCTATCTATCTATCTATCTATCTATCTATCTGTCTGTCTGTCTGTCTGTCTATCTCAAAATAAGAGCCCTCCAAACATTGCTCATTTGTATACATTCAGAAAATCATTATCCTAGTTTCCACAGGCCAGATTCACCTCAGATGGAGAATACACCTTATCACAGTGTCAACTGCACTGTTTCAGGACATTCTGATGTTGTATTACAAAATTGTACGGGGTAGTGATGGCGCAGTGGATAAAACACATGCCTTTGGTGTGAGAGACCCGGGTTCGAATCCACTGTGAGACACCAATGTGTCCCTGAGCAAGACACTTAACCCCTAGTTGCTCCAGAGGCGTGCGACCTCTGACATATATAGCAATTGTAAGTCGCTTTGGATAAAAGCGTCAACTAAATGAATAAATGTAAATGTAAAATAAGAGCCCTTCAAAATTCATTAATAAGCTGTTCCCTTTCGAACTGTAAGTCGTATTGCGTAGCTCTACGCTATGGGGAAACTCAATTTCTCCGAATACTGAAGCCCTTTATGTAATAACGCAGTGCATAGTGCTGAGACTCACTAGCATGCTATTGGCTGGTCAGTGGTAACTGCACGGACCTATGGCAAAACGGCGTAATTGCGCCAATGGTGCGATGCCCACCATGCTGAACGCAGAGCCCGCCAGAATGGGCGGGGCATCTGCCTATAAAAGACGCTCGGTTTTGCCATGGATTCAGGTTTATCGACTGAAGCGACGAATGCCAAGTCGTGTGCGTCATAGCACGGCCGTATACGCAATACTCATACCCTTATCTCAGGGAACTGAGGTTACGTTAGTAACCGACTGTCTGTACTGGGCGGAGCGTTGAACATATGTTCTCAGAGTCCGGACCGGGCAGAGTAGGTGTAATTGCTGCTTATCTTATGATGTGGGAAGAGCAGAGAGCGTAATCACTTGTGCTTTGAACGGGGTTGAAAGCACTTTGAGCACATAGCCGTGTCTCGGTTTGAGGATGACTTTAGAGTCGCCAGGGCCAAACTCCAGACAGGAAGCTTTGGTAGAGAGCGCCTGAAGGTCCCCAACTCGCTTAACTGATGCTAGGGCTAGCAGTAATGCAGTTTTGAGCGAGAGCTGTTTTAATTTGGCCGTTTGTAGTGGCTCGAATGGAGGCCCCTTGAGAGCCCAAAGGACCATTGATAGGTCCCAGGAGGGCACTGTAGGGGGTCTTGGAGGGTTAAGCTTTCTTGCTCACCTTAGGAAGCGGACAATCATGTCGCTTTTCCCTATCAACTGGCTAGCCGCCGGTGAATGGAAGGCTGCGATGGCTGCCACATAGACCTTGAGCGTGGATGGAGTACAGCCTGCATCCAGCAGCTTTTGGAGAAAAGAAAGTATCACTTCACATAGATTTTGTTTTTTATTTTGTTTTTCAGGAAGTGTCGCATTGCCTGTGATGCCTTCTGTGCCGTTGTGTAGAACTCAGCAAATCCGTCCAACACGGGGCCAAAGAGACCAGTGCAGGAGATGGGAGCATCTAAGAAGGCGGTTCTGTCCGCATCCTTGATCTCTGTTAAGGCCTCGTTTACACTGCAGGTCTTGATGCCCAATTCTGATGTGTTGCCTATATCTGTTTTTTTTTTGTTTTTTTTGACCATCCGTTTACACATTCTTTCAAACCCATATCCGATTCATGTGACATACAAAAAAGTAATGGTTCTTTAATCCTTTAAAAAAGTAATGGTTAAAAACGCACTGGGTGACTCTTATAATCTGTTGTCTTTCTTTCCTATTTTAACATAAATGATCATAAATGATCTTACCATTTTTTGTGTTTTTTGTTGACAGGATGCTGAATTATTTCTGTCTTCTTCCTGGGTCTGAACTGCATAAACAATAATCACACACAGGTTAAAACAACAATGTTTTTTAATCCAAAATGTTAAAATTGTACCTTGAAAAAGATAAATATTTCACCTTATGCATTCATTGCTTGCTCTACTGACCTGTTTTTCTACATTTCCTGCAGATGCAGAAGATCCCAATGACTGCAACAACAATCATCAGAGATCCAGCAGCAGCAGAGATCCACACTATCAGAGACACTGAGACTGGTTGTGAAGTAGACTGACCGTCCCGTTCTGAAATGATAAACGAAGAAGTGAACCCATCAGTCTGATCTACAACAGAAGACAGAGATCAGGTCAGTAAATACACACATATATCATCAGTGCTGTGGTACCTGCACATGTGTGACAGAGTGTGTTGATGTCCAGATGTGTGGTCTGGTTGCTGATGGGATTGTTCAGCACACAGCTGTAGGTGTTTTTATCCTGATATTCCACCTCCAGAGGTAGAGAGAGACTGATGCTGAGATCACATACACTGATGCTGGACAATACACTCATTCCTGCATGCCAGGAGAGAGTCACATCACTCACATTCAACACTGAACACAGCAGTGAACAATTTGATGCTGACGAACAGTTTGAAGAGTTACTGCTGATGACAGGAACAGGGAGACGAGCTGGAAAACATGAAAGAATAAACAGAGATCTGGATAGATCTAGTCAACAAAATTGTTGATTGAGTGTTTGGTGTGATGATTATGTTTCTATCTTCTCAAACTACAAAATTATTAAACATTTCAAGATGTAAATAGTTTAGTAATATTCTGGTTTCAGCGCCAGTTAAACTCAATTTACAGCATTTGTGGAATAATGTTGATTGCCACAAAAACAATTTCCATTTGCCCCTATTCATCAAGTACCTTGGATTTAAGGAGAGAGTTCAGGAAGTTAGAAAGTGCATGGACATCAACAAAACTTTGTGTTAATTTTGAGCAGTTGAAAGGGCTTTTAGTTCACCAAAGGCTAAAAGTTCTGCTAATATCTCAAAATTAATAACTACTAACTGCCATAATGCAGGGTTTTTAATCAAAACCATCAATAGGCACTGTTCCACTGTCAGGCCAGTGCAAGTTTAGCCTCTCCCGTTCAAACTGCCCCGCTTTAAGCGGGACTCAAAACTGGGCCTCTCCGCACGGGAGGCGGGCGCTCTAAAAAGAAGGCTAAAGTCTCTAGTGTCAGTCACTAGTGCGCCTTTAGAGATCAGGGGAGTGATGTTTACTTGCTCCGTTTGAGATAATTTATCCTCCCCTTCTACAATCATCTATGGTGTTCCACAGGGCTCCCTGCTGAGACCAAATTTGTTTTCAATTTAGATGTTACCTCTTGGCTCTGTAATCTGGAAAATCACAAATTGCATATGATTTACAGTTATATTTATCACTGCGCTCCAATTATCGACAAGCTTAGATATCCTCCAAGCATTAACAGATATAAGTAACTGGATGGCATGTAATTATCTGCAATTGCATACTGAGAAAACTGAAGTCATGATAATCGTTCAGGGCTTTAATAAAAGTCAGATTGAGTCTGCTCTTAATAAAGTGTTTCCCAATATTAGGCAGAAATGTGGGTGTTTATTTTGTGAATTTTTAATATCACATGTAATGAACTTAGCTCTATGAAATATTAATAATCAATAATAACTTGTTATGATTAATTATGAATATTTGGGTCAGTTAATTGGATTAACTTGACATGGCTAAATTAATATTACAATCAATTAATCAGTTCGTCCAACGAACTCTTTTGATTATTAATTTATTCTAAGAAAAGGGTATCTTCCATGGCCACAGAAGAATAATTATTTTTTATCATGTACAGAGCTTTGAGCATGTAGCAAGATCAAAATCGTAAAAGAGACTTTGTTTGCAAGCAGTGAATCAGAGTTGTATTAACTAAATCATAAACATGAATAAACTAAACAAACCTACATTAGGGATGGTAAGATTCACCGATTCGCATCGGTGCATCGGCATAAAAGCTAACGATGTGTTTTGTTGTTTAAACGTCTTTATAACAATCGCGTTAGTTGAGCTGGATGCGCGATGGGCGGCGCCATGTTAGTTTGTTTCACAGTTCAGAGAATCGGATCTGTTGTTTCTCACGAAATACATGAAAGTAAGTGGCCGGTGAACTAGGAGAAGAATAGGGTAAAATGTAAAGCTACTTACACAATGTGTATCTGATATGAATAAAACGTTTTGTCTTATTATAATGGAAATGATTATTGTAGCCGTTTCCATAGACATCAGTGTCTATTTTACTAATTCAAAATCACTGTTTTGCTAGTACTTATGTGTATTTAAATGTCTGAAACCTAAAATAAACATTATGTGGTTTAAAATACTCAATAGTTGTGATATATGACAGCACTGAGTGCGTCTGTCTCTGGCTCAGCGCCAGCCAACGCGCGAAAGCACGTTTGAATTTAGCAGTTGATCATGTGATGCACTGACCGTTCTAATCACACCGGTGTGATCGTACGCTCCGGGGACCAGCCAAGACTGATCACACCGGTGTGATCGTACGCGTGAAAGGGTTAATGTATCGTATCGTTGGCTAATCATCGAGATGCGTATCGCATCGGCCTCAGCTATGGAGATGCACATCCCTAATATACATACATACTGTACATACCTACATAAATACATAAATAGGTGAGTGACAGGATGAAATGGAAAACAGGGAAAGGAACTATGATAAGATCCATGTAAACTCTAAAAAGAAACAACAGCATTTCGTTTTCACATTTCATTGAATTGAAAACTTGCATTTGTAGTGGGAACAATTCTTGAAGTTGTGGAAAATTGAAGTCGTTGATGGTTCTGGCAGAGGCAAATGGAAGTTGTTTGAAAGTTCTCTTTCTCCATGAGCACATGGCTGGTTTGGTCAAGGCCTAGGGCCCTGGGCCCTGTTGAGGCCACGCCGAGCACCCAGGAGAAGTGAGGAAGTCGGAAGAGTGGGTGATTGGAGTCTTTGTTGGTTGGAGTTGTGGTTCCAAACTCCTGAGATTGTCCTTGGTTCTTTGTGAGAGAGTCTTCTCTCTCCTGCATGAGCCCATATCTAGTTGGATCAAGGCCTGCAGGGCCCTGGGCCCTGTTGAGGGGGAAGGGGTTCCCCAGTATCAGTATCAGTACCAGAAACAGTGTTGCGGCTGGATGAGAAAACCCAAGAGAGGGAGGTTACATGTGGACTGTCTCTAATAAAGCCTGAGAAAGATCCAACCCCTAAGGGTTGAACTCGACCAATAAGAAAGGTGAAATGTCTGAGAGGGAAAGTGGCTCTTAGTTGATTTATGGTCTTTGTCCCAAGCATGCTTAGACTGTTCATTCATGCTCATATATAAATAACAAATCCACATTGCATTCTAAGAGAAGGTGATGTACATCAAAGTGTGAGTCATTAAATGAGGATTAATTAGGTAGGAAGCATGATACAGGTGAGGTTACATTGACCGTTAGCTGGTTGTATAATAAAATACATACCATAGTATATACATAATCGTACACAAGACAGTAAATCATTTACACAATGCTATGAAGCATGTTCATTTATAGATCAGTTAGTCTATGATTAATGCAGCAAAGTCTGTTTTAAAGAGGGTTTCTGTCTTGCCATTGTCTCTCTCTTGTGCATGTGGCCACATTTCTTCAGAGGTCGTAAAATCTCCTTATCAGCCCTGTAACATGACACTGTTTCTGCCCTTGTGTTCGTTTCATTTGGGATGTTAGTTTTGGAGTTTCATAAACCTTTGTATATAATGAATAATTAGTGTGTGTCTGATGGGTCCAGACCCTACACACATTAAGAATTAGGTTGAGTCGTGTTTTTATCAATTACAAAATATTTCCAAGGTGAGACAGTTTTTAAGTTTTGAAGATATAGAGAAGCTTATTCTTGCTTTTATTTAATCTCGTCTGGATTATTGCAACACCCCAGTTTTCTACTTTAAATCAACACACTTTATCACGGCTTCGTTGATGCAAGCGCTTCACATTGAGTCTTGCTTAATAAATAAGTAAGGAAATATTTGTATGTTAATATTTTTGGTAGTCGACATTGCACCACAAATGCTGTTGATTGAACATAATTTGTACTGAATATTCCTTTTAAAAGCAAGAATATTTGAAGGGCATGGACAAATGATCTCTACTCACCATATAGGCTTACAGAAACATTGAATGTTTTTGATGTCAGTTTCAGTCCATGTATTTTTAGTTGATAATCTCCGGCATGTTCAGTTGTGGTGTTTGTGATGATCAGAGATCCAGTTTGATCGTCCAGCTTCAGTCTGTCTCTGAATCTCCCATCAAGAACATCATATGTGTAGAAGATTTGCTTCTTTTTATTCATTTTAGCTATGAGAGCCTTTTCAGGTCCAAATCTCCACATTATGTAGGCGTCTTCATGTATTTGAGTATGAGAGTTTAGAGTAACAGAATCTCCCTCCATCACTGACACTGAATCACCAAACACACCTGGAGAACAAACAGTTTTTACACAGATTAAGGCTCCTGATGGTTTACAAAGCCTGAAATCAGCTGTAGTTTGTAACTAACTTATTAAAGAAAGGTGAGATATATGAACATTAAATTAATGGTGTAATTACAACATGGAAAGTTAACATAATTTAAAACCCACGAAAATGTGGCTTAGCTGTGAAAAATGTCACTGATATTAATCAAAACATATAAACATTTTATAACTTACTTGTCAGAAGGCACCAGCAAAAACAGAACAAAGCAAGCGTGTGAAACATTCTTACATTGTGACACAAGCAGCTCATCTGAGTCAAACTGAAACTGCTGTGGTCGGTTTTCTACAGAAATGTGGTTTGATCTGGGCGAAAATCTTTTAGTTGAGAAGGCACATTTATTGTAATTGTGTTTAGTTTGTAGGTGAAGTGCTTCTTCCTCTCCTGCTTTTAATGAACTTAAGAGTTGATACCCTCACAAAACAGCTTTGAAGTAAAAAAATAAATACTGAATCCATAAAAACACAACATACACAGATTGACAGCTAAGCAATAGGTGTAATTTGCGGGCGAAACGGGTGGGACATGTCTCCACCTCTTTTTGAAACATCGTGTGGTACAGATGTATCTACTACAAAGTAAACCGTTGAGTAGCAGACTCTCTTCTCATTCTGGTGAAATTACAAAACAAAATACACACAAACTTGTCCCTACTCTTGATATACAATCACTGATGAACATCTTTGGTTTTAAA